TGAAATAAAAATGCAGTTATGCATTTAAAACACTGCAATTCAAGGTTTACCTAGCAACAATAAGCAACACAGGCTTTAAGTATTTTAAAGTACCAAATTAATTATATTTCCATGCTTAAATTTGCCCTTGTGGTATTTTACATCTGTAGAAAGGAAAACACCACAAATACCCCAGATAAACTTAGCGGTGGTTACTCTATTTCTTTTAGCTGGCTTATTTCTTTTTTATTTAGTTTTTGTAGCACCTAGATTGGGCAGGTTGGTAATAGAATTTAAATGTATTTTCCTAAATTGATGTGGAATTCAGCATATACCAATCTTTGCACTGCACATCAAAAATATGTATGATTGATGTATATAAAACATTCATTTTACATCTTGTGCATAATATATACATTTAAATAGGGGTCTTCCCTCTCACATATTACATTTTATATGGTTATTAAGGTGTTTCACTCTGCATTTTCTGCCAGGCTTTTAATTTCACACACTTCATCTATCAGATATTACTGCCTACTTTAAACAAATCACTGCAGAAAATGATAACTGGTGCTGAATACAGAGTTAGGGAGGTGGGAGGTTTGCAATTCCAAGTAATGTGGAGCTGGGTGACAAATGGAGAACAGCAGCTGGGCTGAGAAGCTCAAGAGAGACAAAAATCACATTTGCAGGTAAGTGGAGTGGAAATTTGTGGAAACTGGGTAAAACAAAAAGCAAAACATTGTTATTAAAGGTGGAGTGAGAGGTAGCAAGAGTAACAGAGAGGCAATTTTCTCCCAGCTCCATCAGGAATTCATCTCAAGCTCTAACATGCAATTTCACTACGGAGCTCCAGGATGAAACACAGGATTATATCTAATTGTTCTGGGGGTTTGGATAACAAAGCATAAAAATCCCAGTAAGTGGCCTTTTATGCCAGTGCAGCCCAGAAAATGATGAATAAAAGTTATAAACACATCCAAAACCTGAACTGCAATAAATATCAAGATAACTACCCAAGAGAAAAGAAATGCAGCTTTAGGGATTTGGTATTTTCAGGGATATCTGTACTATGACAGCCCAGTTCAGAGGAAAACTGATCCGGCTCCTGAAGCTTGCCAAAGCAATGCTAAGCTGCAGAAATAGCACACACCTTCTCATTTTACCTTTTCTGGCAGTAATATTTTACAATGGGAAGCCAGGAGTGCTGAGAGAATATGGAAAGGAGGACAATTAAATTAAAAAGGCTGTTATGTAATTGTACACTGCATATTTAACATGATGGTGTAGAGCTACACAGTCCCTTCCAAACAAGAAATTAATAGGTCTTTATTAATATGTTATTTATTTTGGTCACACCTGCTTGTAAAATATTAATACTGTCTGAGTTGTGGCATTTTAGCTTTCACAGTGACAAATCCACCCTTAGCTCTGGGTAATCCTTAGGGTCAAAAAAACCCCATCCAGATCTGCCAAGTGGCAAACTCAATGCTGGCAAAACTCCCTTTGTTTTGGAGAAGGCTTAGCATAAAACCTTCCCCCAGGAAGATGGGGAAATGCAGGGGAGGTTTTGTGGAGCCACTGTGGAGTCATGGGGAGCTGAAGTTTAGTTTTAAAACAAGGTGGAGTTCAGCACCACACGTGGCACATTGGCACCAAGCTGGGCATGGAGACAAAGCCCAGGAACCCAATAAACCATCCCAGCCAGGCCTTCTGCTTCTGAACTCACAAATAACCATCCTAGCAGCTCATTTACCTCTAGGAATAATAGCACACACATTACCTTCTATGCATCATCTCACCTGAAAATTAGCACAGCTCCCACGTTTTCTTACATATGGGTAAATATATATATGCACAAACCAATGCTTGTGATTTTAAAACATATGTAATACGTAGTGCAAATCACTTTCTTCTTCCACCTATCTACTAGTTCTTCACTGTTCTGACTCCAAACAGCGCTGGTTTAGCTGAGCAGCCACCAAAGCAGGTGCTGCAGTGACAGCACCCAGTGTAGCCCCAGCTCTGCAGTGCCCAGTCCTGCTACATCCCATTCCCACCCTGCAGGCTGGGATGTGGATGGGATGTGGGACTGCCAGCTCAAGGGCAATGACTCTGGCTTTGATTTGAAGGTGGAAATGCTCTGGAAGGTGCCAGAGGTACTTGGAATGAAACCAGGAGCAGAGAGATCCCAGTGGCAGGTGAAGAACTGGAGAAACAACCTGACTAAAGAAGTGAATCAGGCCTATGGATAGGAAGGAACATCAGGAAAACAAGCTTAGTTTATGTCTCCTTATTTCTTTTCCCCTTGTCAAAAGCCTGCATTTTAATCCAAAGGGATCTTTGATTCCAGCAGAAAATGTCTTCCCATGGAGCATCTTGTGGTTCCCCTGGCAGACAGCCCTAGCACAGCCATCCCTGCTGGCACTGTCTTAGGAGCATTTCTGCTTTACCGTGCCAGACCTGCTCAAGTTTGGAGCCCTGCTTAAGCCTCAGGTTGAAGCTGAGAAGGTGGTGATTCACTCTCCCACAGATACCCACATTTGTTCCAGCCCTTCTCTGGCTCTACCTCAAGCAGAATCAAAGCCTGGGACTCTGACCTCAGCACCCAGTGTGAAATGACAGCTTCCCTGAGGACTGCATGTCCTCCCATTCTCTTCATCTACTCATGTGACTTTCTTTCCCCCTGACTCAGAAATACTGCAGCACCAAAGGCAGAGATGGCAGCACATCAAAGAGCCTAAGCTACAAGGGAAACAGGTTTATTTTCACTTGAGCTATTTTTTTTTCTTTTTTTTAGCAAGACTTCAAAAAAGTAACAGAGATGATAATGGAATTGAAAAATCCAATGGCACCTGAATAACATAATTCAAGCACCAGTATCAGAGGATAAGATAACCCACCCAGAGACACTGCGGTTACACATCTCATCTGGGCTGTGTTTCTGAAGGGGATGTGAATTTGCAGCCCTGTGACAATAAGGAAATTGGGGTTAAGAAACAAGAGAGGAGGAAAAAGGGCCAGTCAATTCTCCCACCACCACCTTTTCTTGTTCCTAAAATTTCAGTTGCCTGGAAATGGCTGATGAGAAGATGGGATTATGTAAGTGCTTGCCAACTTCTCACACACTAAGGAAATTAAAGCCTCAGTGATGGGCAGCTTAACCCTTCTTCTAAGTAGTGAGCTAAAACATGTCTACTAAGGAGAACTCGAATAGTGAAACCCCTTAAAAAAAACAGAAGTGATGAGGACTTCACAATTCCCAGGATTTAAAAGCTGCATATATTACAGACAAGGTAATCTCCTTATAGTAAGATGAGGAAACGGAAAATAAAGACTTTTTGGTGGACAAGACAGTTTTTGTTTTAAGGCACATCCATCCTGTCTGGCTGAAGACTTTCTTGTGTTATTGCCTTTTTTTCTCATGATAAACATGACAGAAAAGAGCTACACCAGCCTTCCAAATCCTTATTGTTACATTTTCCAACAAACTCACTGCTCCCATCAAACATGACCCACCAATAATAAAATAAGAAGCACTGTGCTCTTCCTACATTTAATCAGGTGAACACTTGGGTAGTACAAGACAGCTAGCACCAGCCAAAGTGCAAAATAGCTTGAGCTAGTTTTGAATAGACCTTCAGCAAGTGTGTCACCCCAGCAGACCTGAGCTTTCCTGAGCTCTTCCTCACTGTCAGTCCAGGGACATGGGACCTTCTGCAAATGCTCTCATTTAACTACAGCTGAAGGCCAGTTGAAAATCTACCACAGAATCACAGTATATCCAGAGCTGGAACGGACTCACAGGGATCACTGACTCCAACTCTTGGCCCTGCACAGGACTCCCCAACAATCTGTTAAAAACCTCTAAATCCTGCTCCAAGCTGAAGCTGCACCACCCATTGGAGGTGCAGGTAGCAAATGGCTGATCTAGAGGTTGAAGAAGAAATCATATTGCCTGCTGCTCAGCCACAGGATAGGGCAGCAAAATAATCTCCATTTGCTACAGGAATGCACCTGTAGTTGTGTAATGGAAGTATGTGTGTCTTGGAGAGGAAATACAAAGTAGCTGAGTTGCTGGAGCTCACATATTCATCAAAAGTAAAAAATCCCAAACAGTGGCTTTTTCTACAGCTGCCCAATAATGGCAAAAAGCAAATCCTCAGCTGATGATAATTGTTATGGTTCCACTGGAATCTGCTGCTGCTGTTTCCCCTCTGGACCTACAGAAGGAGGGGTGAAAACCCAATCATTCTATGGGAAGAAAAGCTGCACTGAATGAGTGGAACCAGATGTGAAAACTTCACCCAACGATGAGAATTCTGGGATGTCTTGGAAAACTTAAACTGGTCAAAGCCTCAGCCAGCCCATAAGAAAACCTATGTCCTTCAGCTTTAGAAGAGAAGAAACAACTTTTCAGAAAAGCGAGAGATTACTTAACTGTGATTTTTAAGCTGCTTCAACAGCATCTTAGCTATTTCAAGCAGTCCTAAGAGTTTATTTGTGATTGCCTTCCCTTAATGGAACTACGAGCTGGCAAAGTGCTCGAATCGGGGCAAAAGAAACACACATGATTTTTGTGACTGCTGTGTTACGAATATTTTTTTTTTCTGTTCCAAACTGCCTTCCCTGGGAATTTTAAAATACAGAAAACCAGCAAGTATCTACATAAGTAGGTCATTTTCTTAATGGCAGAGAAGTGCTGTTTTACTCCAGCTCGCTTGTAACACAGACACACACATTTCCAAATAAAGAGTATTTTTGGATCTGCAAGGGAGGGGAGTGACTTACAATCATGGAGGCACTCACTCCAAGATCAAGTAGAGTCTAATTCAGAAAGACAAGCAGGAAAAAGTTGTACTTTGCACCTTCCATGAGAGCTTTGCAGGGAGTTGTGACATTTTGGAGAAAATCCTCTTGCCGCGCATAAGCTGGAGCTGGAGGGTGCTGCACGCTGCATATCCCATTACAAAAGCAGAGCCACGTTAGTTCATTAGAGAAGTGATAAGTTCAATCCTTACCAAGTTTTCTTGGTTCCTGGCTGCTATTTTCTGATCATCTTCTCCCCCATTTTTCATGTATTTGACCTCTTCCACTGGTTTGATCCTATACTCATCTGAGCACCAAGAAAAAAAAAGAAAAAAAAATTTTGAACCAGTGTAGTTCAGCAGCTGGGATAAAAACCAAACTAAAACCAAAACAGCTGACTAGAATAGACCCTAGTTAAGCAAAGCAGCTAAAAATTACATGTATATATTTTCAAATACAAAGGGAATTTCTCCTGCCTAAAGTTTCAATAAGAATTGCAGTAGCTCTCTGGTCTAGTATAGCCATGGCACCAGGAAACAGGGATGTTTGGTGTGTAGTCTCTCCCAGATCCCTAGTTCTCTGTTTAATATGTTCAATACATACAAGTTCTTTGCTCCTGCACCCTCCCTGGTTATTCATTCTCAGTGGACAGTGACTGTGGACAATGGCTACTTGAGAGAAGGCTGCTCATGGGCACTCCCTGCACAGCAAAGCTGATGGAGGATTCTGAAAATGTAGATTAAAAACTGGAAAAAGGCCAACCCACACCATAATCACTGTGTCTTTTTTTAAATTTAGTTTTTCCTAATGACACAATGCACACAGAATGATTTCTGGAGAAAAGGCCCCATGCTGATCATCTTCCTCTTCCCACTTCCCCCACCAACCACTATTTTTTCCTGCATACAAATGTTACCCAGACAGAAACGCAGCCTGAAAATAAGTGAGAAAAGTAAGATTCTTGGTTTATCCTCAATATTTATCAGCTCTTCAAACACTAGAATTCCAAGCTCTAATGCTAGTATGGAAATGTTATCTAAAATTCAGGTGCTATACCATAGTAAACCCAAAGGTCCAACAAGGGATTTTTTTCCTTGGTAGGACAAGATGGGATTTCAGAAGAATGATTCTTCCCCACAGCCTGTGAATCCAGTTCTTGCAGGACCAACACTGCCCTTGCTCAGCCACATTTTGCTCTGGTTATCTTTGCAGCCTGTGAATCTATTGGAAAAAACACCCAAAGTTGTGCATCCACCCTCCTCTAGCCAGGATAAACAATGCAGAAGAGAAACTCCATCCCACAAAGGTGGAAATTATTAATACAAAGTGAAATGAGAACAGTACATTTGGAATAAAGGGCAAAACCATGACAAATTAGAAGACACTGCACAAACTTTCCTCCTTTTCTTTGGGTTTTCAAGCAATTCCTTTCAGTTCTACTGAGGGAAAAACAAAGCCCAGATAGATTTTTCTGGGTTACTGTATTGCTAAAAAAATAATATTATTTAGACAAAGCTGTTTTCAGGAAACTGTTAATCAGAGTCTGGAAGTTAAATAAATCTTGCTTTGAAAAATACTACTTACTTTTTAAATAAACTTATTTCAAAAAACAATCTTATTTTAAAAAATGCATTATGGTTTTGCATTTGGTCTAGTCCACAGCTATACATTTTCTTTATTACAGAGTTCAAATAAACTGAATCTATCAAATAGAAGCATCTCAGACACAGAGCCTCAAATCAGATGGAAGAATTTAAGACAGTATTATCAGACTGGTAAATGTGAACAACTCTGAGAGATTTTCTTTTTTTTTTTTCCAGTGTAATTCAGCTAGTCTGGAGATGACAATTCATAAGCCCAAAAGGGCTGAACACAATAAAGCCTGGGAATTAGAAATAGTTGATTGACTGTAATTATCTAACTTACATTTTCCTCCCTGCCTCGGTGCTCTGTGTTGTGATTAGCAATAAAACCCACATGCAGAAAAAGCATCAAACTCCCACAGAGGCATGCAGGGATCTGAATGGGGAAACAGATGAGCAAGAGAAAGCAGCCCCAAGGACATTTCCCAACCCACAGCCAGTCCATGGGCACTGGAGGAAAGAGGAAGCTCAGCCCAGCCTTGTGGAAAACAAGGAAGGTATGGAGGGGCTGACGTTCCATGACAAAAATAACCCTGAAATGTGTCTGCTGCTTATTCCAAGAGATTAATTGTGATCAAACACCACATCCAGGCAGCAGCTGATCCTGTGGGGATGGTATAGGAGGGATGCTTCCTTGGACACATCATCTCTTGGAGCAAGTCAACCAGGGCACCGAGGAGTCCCTGACTGATAGCCAGGATAATCAGATTGACATGTGAAATTCTGATACATCTGGACAGGACAGAGTCTTCCTAGAGATCAAAAATTTTAAATTCATAATGGACACGGGCACAGAGCCTTCAAATGCTGCTTCGTTTGCCAGATACATCAAGTAGCTTTGAAGAGGTGGCAGAAAACTTTGCAGAGATTTCTTATGATACTTCCAGAGCTATTTCCAACAGTGTAAGTAAACTTCAGGACTCTCCTGATGATACAATAAGTATTTGGTTATCTTTGGCACAGCTGGTGCTACTCTCCCCTCCATCCTACCAAGTGCAGAAGTGCAGACAACTGGATAATTTATGCCCAAAAAATGCAGCAACAAGAAGGTTTTGAAAAATAAACCAGTCATTTTTTATAACATTTTCTGAACAAGTTGAATCCACCACAGCAAACAGCTTTGGAGAAATCCAACTTCTCCTTGGGAGAATGGCTTCCCACTGCCAGAGGCAGGGTTAAATGGGATATGGGGAAGGAATTGTTCCCTGTGAGGGTGGGCAGGCCCTGGCACAGGGTGCCCAGAGCAGCTGTGGCTGCCCCTGGATCCCTGGCAGTGCCCAAGGCCAGGCTGGATGGGGCTTAGAGCAACCTGGGCTGGTGGAAGGTGTCCCTGTCCATGGCAGGGGGCTGGAACTGGATGGGCTTTAAGATCATTTCCTATCCAAACCATTCTGTGATTCTGTTGATACAGATAAAAAAATCAGGAAGCCCCTGCAGATGTTGGCAGAATCAGCCTAGTAATAGGAAGTGTCTTAGAAAATTAATACAAATGTCCTGCCTCTAATAGATGGCATCTGTTTGAGCAGAAGAAATCTCTGCTCCAAAAGCAATAAAGCTTTGACATAATCTAAAGCTGAGGATATGCTTTAAAGGCCAACGGATTGTCTCCTGGGATGAGCCCCACTGGAGAAGGGGTTGAGGGGCTGGCACTCAGTGCCCCAAGCAGTGATGAACAGCCTGGAGCTCCAGGCAGGTCCCAGCTCCAGCAACCCCAGGGGCTCTGGGCAAGCCCTGCATGCACCATGGTGAGACCAAAAGGCAAATGCAGCACTGGCCTGTGGAAAGCCAGGGATCAACTTCATTTTGGTTAATAACTGAGTGGTAACAACTGCTTTATCAGCTACACACAGAAATGAAGGGAGCAGATCAGATTCGTTACATTTGAAGCAACATCATTACTCATAAGGTCTCCTAGTTCCCTATCACAGGCAAAATACTTCCCTTAAAACAAGGAGCACTGATATAATATATTGGAAACATTTCTGAGTATTAAGTAGTCACTTGCTGGAGGGAGGTATAAATAGATATGATTCTGCTTTGCAAGGGAAAAGAACAGCTAAGTAATTACACATAACTATACAGCCAGGGAGGACCCTGCCTGCTGGTGTAACAGAAAGACTTATTCATAGGTAAGATAACAGTCTTTATTTCAAATATTTTAAATCTACAAATTAAAATATGATAATTATTTTCAGAAGATGGGTCTTGCGCTGCATTATGTTATTTTTGAGAGGACACGATGATACACAGACTTTTTTTTTACTAGGTGAAGACAAAATCTGTCTTCTATAGCTACCTTTCACATAGCTATAGACACCTTACACATATGTGTAAACACCTTATGTGTAAGGTAAGGAGTGCAGAAACTTCAGATTCTGAGCTATTTATGAGATTGTTCTTGCTCGAAAGTTACTGTCAGGATGAAAGCAATGCAAGTGCAAAAGGGATGTTTATGCAACACAGACCTTGAAGCAGATCATGGGGTGTATGGTCATTAATAGTCTGAGGTAAATATGAAAATTAGATTAAAAACAGGACAGGTTGGATGATGAGCCCTTAATGCCTTTCCTGTAGGTATGTGCAAAAAAACATCAAACTGGTTTTGGTCAATAACTTAAGAATGACATGGAATTGAAGAAGTAAAGGATGATGAAAACCATCTTTTAAGTTTTACCTTCTGATTTCTACTGAAGTAAACACAGCATTTTGACGTAATTTGGTCTGAGTGATCAGAAACAAATCCAGAGAAATCCTGAAATATTGACTGAAATCCAGCAGGACCTCATTAAGTCTGGCAGCCAACAAGATCTCTAAAACTGTAAGAAGTTCAGGATAAAGGAAATTTGTACTTCATGCCTATTTACCTTGGTCTTATTCTTAAATACAGTTTTATATCAAAAAGAAAAGTGAAAAATATTCATGCTTCTTTCTTGTATAGAACCAAAAATCAAGTAGTGAATAAGATAAAAAAATTTGAAAACTACCACTCAGAATGTGATATATCAAATATATAAAGAGAAATGCATCCTTATGCTCCTTTCAGGAGTAAAAACAAAATCAAGTCCTCTCTTCTGTTGTGTGGTGTATTATATAAAATGACAAGATTTCCAATAACTCATATGGGGGAGGAATGGCTTTACAGGACTGTCATAGCAAATCCTGAGTTGAAGAAAAGCAACTCAATTAAATTGAAAGAAAAACAACATAAATGAACCACAAAAGACAGAAATACTGTGAGCATAACACCCACCACAAAATCACAGGATATAAACCAGAAAGCAGGAATGCTTCTAGCTCCAAACTGTGGAAAGGCACAGGCAGGAAGAATTTGGAAGTTGAATATGCTGCAAAAATTCTCAGCAGGCAAATCTTATGAATGAAGATCTCCATCTGGAAACAGATAATTCCACTCAAACATGTCACCCAGTTGCCATGGCAATGTGACAAAGAAAAACCAGCACTCATTAATAACAATTTCAGTGATAAATGAGCATATCAACTTAGAATATTGAAACAATTACTGGGTGGGGGGCACAGAACTGTGGTGGTTCCCATGAGAAAAATGTCTTCAGCACTCACAGACATGGCTGTAAGTGCCTTTACCACAGGAATATGGGCAATGACATCAATTCTACTCAGTTTAAAGGAAAGAGAAACACCAGCA